AATAATAATAGCAAAACCTCCTAAAAGACATATTGTTGTGCCATATTGTCATTGTTTTTGATAACTGAGCCTGGAAAGCCATGTACTTTTAAATGTTGGCAAAACATGAACAAAGATACTTGTACATTTTGTTCAGTTTAAGTTGGAGTGTAACTGGTGTTTTATCTGATTTTTTATCTAAGGCAACATTGTAATATTAAGGGACACTCCAGCAAAATGACAAAATGAAAAATGTAACACTACATCTGTTGTAAACATGCTTTACTCGCACCTACAGTGGTTCTTCAGTAACTTCTAAAGTAAGAGCCCCCCTTTTGATTATGTATCTTGATAGGATACACTTTTTAAAACTATAACTGCTTTGGGGTGGATTTTTGGGGCCAGGCATTTTAGCTGGTGAATGCAGAAGGAAGCCAGATACCTAACATTATTTATCTAAAAGATAATGTTAGCAGGATATCTGGCTATCTAGATATCCAACCTCAGTTCAGCTTCTTTGGAGTTAGATTAATGCATTCTTGCATTAATGATGAGATCTGGAATTATAATCTAGTATGAATCTGCGGTATCTGTCGTTTATACAAGTCTGACAGTAATCATTGTGGCATGAATGACTTGTGTGATGCAATAACAAAACCTGCTAACACATGGCTGTGTGCCATATTGTTATTATCATTGAGATCACACCTGTTATATAAGGCAAACATATACATCCAGGCTATCTGGGGTAACTGAGGGATCTCAGCCAATCAGATCCCTTACAAATTACATTGAAGACCCGCCCTTAAAACTAATACAGCCTGAGAAGTTCTTTAATTAACTACATGGAGGCAGCACAAGAGAGCAGTGTGCTGTGTGTTGCCAAGGGTGCCATGTTGCAGCAGGAGGGCATATGGGGAGGATGGATATCTCCACAGCCTCCAGATGATCAATCAGCTCTCATTGCCTCCCTGGCCTAAGAGAGTGTTTGTTCTATACCCAAGTACACATACACACATGCACACATTGTTCTGAACCCAAACTTCGCTGCATTAATAGTGTATGAGCGATCAGACACACAAAGCATGCGTGCAAAGTCTGTGTTGAAAAATTCTGTTTTCTGCTTCACTTGCATCATGCAGGAGATGGCTTTGGTGCAGAGAGGCAGTCTGCGAGTTCAAAGCACACAAGAATGGTTTTTGAATTCTAATACTATTGAGTACTTTTGCAGTTAGAGCATTTTGAACTAATATTTTACCCACATTTCCTGTAAACAGGTAATCTTCATCAAATCTTCAACTAGTACACTGTCTCAGTAGCATAAAATACACAGTATCTTTCATATAAGCTAGAAGATGCTCTGTCCTAATAGAAATCTGTCAGGACCTAATGGGCACATATCATGGAAAATAGAAGTAAAAGAGTTTGATGCAGTATGTAAACTTCAAAATGCACTCTTTGCTCCCAGTCCGTGATGTCACAAAAACCTATTTACATGTTTACAAACTATTTACATGCACCCATTTAGCCTAAGGCACTTTAGTGCTTTCTGTTTATCGCTGCTGTTGGAAGAAAACCTCATATCTCCATTTTTTCAGTTTTTGGCATTATTTGAAAATACCTGTTGCTCTTTACATTGAGTGTAAATTTCATGAAGAATGGACCAAAAGAAATTGGAAAAAGTCTACTTCCATTGACTTACATTAAAAGCAAAGTAGGTTTTTTTCTTTTCCTGTAAAGTTGTCAACTTGCAGATACAAGGTTTTCTTCTGACAACAGCGTTATGTTTAGTTAAGTTATTAGTAGAGCTGGATTTCAGTCAAAACTTTTATGTACTGATACTAATACCAACACCTTGATTTGAATACCGATGGCTGAACATTTTTTCCGATTCCTTTTTTTAAAATAAAAGTGGGTGTGGCTTAAACCAGAAATGAGTGTGAGGTGCTGGAAGTGGGTATATTTATAGACCACAATGGACTGCAAACTAATCAAGAAGCACTGACTTTAATAACATAACCAGCTCACTGACACTGAGAACACTGACTACTGAAATTTTGTATTGAATGACATTTTGTATTGAATTAAAATCATTCGCTTGGTACCAAAAAGTACAGAATTTTGGTACTCACCCTTAGTTATAAGGAGTGTTTTACGCTGCCTTCAAGACTTCCTCAGAAGTTCCTACTTACACTTTTCAAAGGTCGTGAGTACGACATAAATTGTGTTCAAGTGGTTTTGGTTGGGAACAAGGTGGACGCACTGGGAATAATGCACGTTTGTTTACTTTTATTTTCATTAAAGAGAGTATGTTTATTTTGAATTATTTAAATGAAGAGCAGAGGATGGTTTTGAGATGAGTAATGTTTTTATCCAGTTAGCAGCCTGCAATGTTCGTGTGTGGCTACTGAATAACTAAAATACAACCAGTTCACAATGACTAGTGGCTGCCATCGCCATTTTGAGTTGACCCCCACACTCAGAAACTCAGGACTTCTCTCATACATCATTTGCCCAGTGTTTTTTAAACGAGGCAAAATGCAGTGCAGCCAATCAGAACAGAGGTTCTTTAAATATATCACTCTTAAGGCATAGTAACGAAGAAAATCTGTTTAATTATAAGAGATAAAGAGGATTTGAAAATGGTTACATAAAAAATTAATTATGACTATTTTTGGTATATAAATTCACAAAACCATCCAAAGTGTAACGTCAGAAAATGTAAGCCATTGGGAATGTTATGTCACGTGCTAAAATCTCAGGTTTTAGATAACATTTTACATTTTAGGTTGACTCCTCCATGGTATCAACATCCCCAGCAGGAAGGGACAGGCCAAGCATGCTAATCACTAGACTATTTAGTTTTAATTTAAACAGAATTACAGTTGTTTCAGTAAGAGCTAGAACAGTGGTCATGAACCCTCCACCTGGGGATTCTACTTTCTGCAAGCTTTAGTTTGAGCCTTAATCTGCTATACCTAATCCAACTAATCAATCTCTTTAGAAGACCTTGATCACCTAGATGAGGTGTGTTAGATCTGGGTTGGAACTGAACTCTGCAGGTGGAGGGAGTGATCACTGACAGAGGCGCCATAAAGAGCAAAGCCCTGAATGATTCAAGCAGCCCACAGCTAGACAGGAATCATATATTATGGATTATGGATTATAGATTATACATAAAAGCTCTTCTCAGGGGAGACAGAATCTCTAGTCTCGTACCTCACCACTCATATCAGTGCTTTCCTGCTCCAGTGTTGGAAGCCCATAGCGTCACATTTGGGGGGATAGTGGGACTGACTTCCCAGGGCCTCTAGGTGGAGGGGGACATTAAGGAACCTAGACTAAATGGTTTGCCTTGGTGTACAGTTAAAAAGGTAGTTCTTCAAAGGTTCTTTAGTAAAGACAATGGTTAGAACCGTGGCAACTCAAAGAACCACTTTAATGCATAAATAGTTTTTTGCATGGTTAAATGGTTCTTTTATATGATGGAAAATCTGCTGTATATGGTTGGGCCAGTGGGGCTAGTGCACAGGTACCTCTGACTGTCAGGGGCCTTGGTGGGCCTCAGAAAGGGGACTGGAGACAGCCCACTGCAGATGCAAAAATTAAATGAATTAATGGCCCTTGAATATATAATGACTAAATAAATGAATGTCTGCTTAAGCCATACCGTGCCACTATATTTAGAACAATGAAAAACCCCCTAACACCAAAATGTGCAGAAGTATACCTGTGTAGGAAACAATAGGCTATTACATCATCATCTCAAGCTCAGTCTGTTATTGTGTGCCGGTGTTTGAATTTTCAGTTCCAGATTCAGTTAAAAGGTGTAAGGTATGATGATTTCTGCCCTCGTCGTCGTTAGTTTTCTGCAAATTTGGGACTTACAATGCTCTTTTACTACAAAGGCTGAAACGGGCTTTGTGAATATGTCAAAGCAAAGATCTATCAAAGGTAAGACATAAATGAACATTTCATATGCCTGCTGTGGAAGTTTGTTTTACCTAGCTACGATGATTAGGTTTTTAAGTTTGTTGTTTTTCCTAGTCTTTGCACATCTCAGCTTTCTGATTTTATCTCAGTCATGTCGTCTTTTTTGGGTCTCACTTTTGTTAGCCTAGCCACTTTTTCACAGGCCTACCCAATAATTTATTTCTGCCTATGTCAGTATCCAACAATAGACTATAGCTAGCTTGTTGAAGACCGCAGTTGTTTTGATGTTAACGGTTTTACCAGTAAACTGTTCCACACACCGCTGGAGAAACAACGCGCAACAGATTGGACGGAGCTAGTTAGCTGGCTAATGTTAGCACAGATGAGCTCAAGTTGAAGTTCTTCTCAAGTTCACTGCAAATTTCAAACCTTGACCGGCTAACGTTGTGGCTTTTAGTGGTTTGGTTCTGTGTTTTAGGTTAGTGAGGCTGAAACTGGCAGCCTCTTTGCCAGCTTCATATTTGAACTTTCCGTTCCGCCTTAAATGGTGCAGCAGTCACAGTCGCCACTGCTGCACCATTTAAGGTGGAATGTAAAATTAGAACCTGACAGGTAAGGACCTAACTTCAGTGCTGTCTAAGTTTGTGCAGTAGTGGAAAGATGATGAGTTTTTGTACGCTGCGTGTAGCTAGACCCATGCAGGGCCCACGGCCACCTGTAGCCCCTGGGCCCACGAGCAGGTAAAAGTGCCCCTGGGTACCATATAGAACTCTGCACGATGTCTTTGGGCTGAATCAGGTGAGCTGAACTATGAAGTCTTTCTTGTTATGACTCAGGGGAGTGAAACTATGTAGTCCTTCTTGCTGTGTGAGGGCAGACACACGAAGGTGTGCATTGCAGGTGGGGCTTCTAGTACTGGCGTTGGGAAAGACAAGGCTGGAGAAATGAGATCAGGGCATGTCTCTCCCTGCATTACACATGGGTCTCCCTCAGCACTGCAGCGCAGCGGCGCCCTCTACCGGACACTCCGCCGTGCGCTGGCCGTCGAACCCGGCGTGACTCACATCGAGGCCGCCCCTTCCGCCAGCAGAGCTGCATTCCATCCTATTCACACCGGGGAGCGCGAGCACACGGTCGCCACGGTGGATATGGCCGCGAGTTCAGGAATTTAACTATGGCACGGACGTGTAATCCGAGGATCACCTGAGCAGAGTAAGTTGGAGCGGGGTCTCCTTTACGACCGGGGGGTTACCGGTGAGGAATTTGAATGGGGTGTGTGTGTATATGTGTATGTTTCTGGACCGCTCGGCTCAGCTCAGCTTTCGAGCAGAGAGTTTGGTCAGTGGGAGGCTCTTCTCTTCTCTTCACGCGCCGTGCTCGGTGCCCGACTGGCGCCTCCGCGCTGCTCTCCTCAAGCACGCGATACAAACATAGCCGCGGTATTTTGGAGCAGCCGGCTGGGCTGCTTTTTACTGGATCGGCGCGGGGCGCAAACTTTTAGTGGTCTGCAATTGCCTTTCGCGTTTTTAGTGGTTCAACTTCGCAGATGCGAGTTGAAATCTCTGCTCGCAGTGCTCGGGTGGGTGCATGAGCCCGTGCGGAATGTGGGTCTCACTGGCTGAGCGAAAAGCAGCAGCTTTTGTGGCTTTTGCAGTGTTAAGCTCAGCAGTTTACTGACTTATTTGGATTCTACGTGGCTTAGAATGCGACTTGCTGGGCTGTAGACATTGTGGGTTGCGTTTTTATACAGGGACATAGAAAAATGGGTGTAGAGCTACAAGAAATCCACCAGTCCATGGAGAAGATCCCCCAAGTCTCCATGCAGCAGACAGGAGTAGCTTATGTGCAAACGAGGCTGAAGTTGGTTTCCAATTCGCCAGCTTCTTGTTCGAATTTTCCCGTTCCGCCTTAAATGGTTCAGCATTTACAATGTAACTACTGCACCATTTAAGGTGGAACGGGAAAATTCGAACAAGAAGCTGACCTCAGCTTAGCGTATGCGAGGGTATTGCTTGCTTGAAATAGTGCTTTGGGAAATGCAGCTCTCCATAAGGCGGTAGTTTCGTGCATGGACACAACGAACACTTCTTGCAGCCATATGTTGTCTCCAAGGGATTTTTTTCAGCCTCTCTAACTACACGGGTAGAGGGGGCAAGTTAACTGGTGGGGCTTGTGGTGTCCCTCTGGAACAATCGATATCCTCTCACAGGCTTTAAAATGAGGGGTAATGGTGGGGTGCGTGAACAGCTGAAGTGTTTGCGGTGTTGGTGCATAGTTGATTGGGGCTCTTGTTGCTGCTTGGTGGTTGAAACAGCCTGCCTGATTGCGGCGGAAAGCACTGCAGCGCATGTAATACCAGACAATCTCAACTACTCATATAAATACAATCTCGCATCGTTGATGTGTAAACTCAGTCACTAGTACCCGCACAACCACCACAGACAGTCTTCCCCAAACGTCTCCCGGAGCACTGTCAGTGAGGTGTGGTGGCCAAACAAACAACATCCCCAAATCTCACCGCCATCTCAGCTGGCCAAAAGTTGCGCGGAGGTCGTTATGTTCGTTTTTTTGTCCGTGCTGTTGCGCTTTTGTGCGCCCTTTTAACAAGGCAGGCGCGCACACACACACAAACTGGTGCGATTGAGTGACTGCGAAGCACGTACGCTGAATGTTTAATGAAACAGAGCCGTTGAAAAGCGATTGGCCTCGACATCCCGGTCGTCTATAGAGTCCCCCTGCTTCACCAATTGTTGTCCCCAATTGCTGGTTAAGAGCATGGCGAACATTCACATGGAAATAAGGGGAATGTGCGCGCTCATGCGTGCTTCACTCGCCTCTTTTCCAAGTCGAATTCAAGACTAACTGGAATCTCATGGTTAGTCACTGTGGACAGAATGGCATCAGGTCACCAGTGAAGCCTGGAGAACATCTGCAATGCTAAGCTAAAGTGGTCTTTTTTCTCCAGCTTCTTATCCGAATTTTCCGTTCCACATGAAATGGTGCAGCAGTTACATTCAGGCGCTTTATAGGCGCATATTTAACGGCTGCGCCATTTAAGGTGGAACGGATAATTAGAAGATTAAAGCTTTGCATCTGAAAGTTGTCCATTTCTCTCGAGTAAAAGAAGACCTCCAAAAGCCCGAGTGGCCATCACATCGTCCTGTAGCGTGAGAAAATGACAGTAATTAATGAGTCTGAATCACATGTGAGTTTAAAATCACATCCGCGTGATCCGTTAGCCAGTCTGGGGCTCGTTGTCACCGTGTGAAGGGCAGATTGTCTGTATTTGGGAAAACTTTACGATGGATGAACTTCCTCTTACGCGCTGTTTCAGAGCAACACGTCTGCGCAGTCCTGCGCATATCGGATGGAGGCTGAAAATGGGCGGGGCTACACGTGGGGCGGGGCTAAACGCCAGTATCTCGTCATTCTGCTGCGTTCAGGTGCGCTTTGGAAGGTCGCGCGGGTGCTTGTACGCCGACAATACGGGAAAAAGACCATGAACGTCGTTTTCGTTTTTCGTTGCCATGAAAAATAAAAAACCCAAATAGAGACCCGTCTCTCAATTATGCGTAGAAAAAGAGCTGAAACACATCTGATATTTCCCCACCAGTTTTTCACATTCAGCTTCAAGCATGCTGGGCAGAGCTCTATATTAGGCTAGTATTTGTAGGTGCTGTGTTTTACAGTAATAGGACTCTGCTGCACAGTTTGGCTGTTGGGTTTTGCGGCGGGGTTGCGCCCTGGCCTTTGATGCTACATAAGGAGCTTAAAGTTAACATAAATAAACATGATATGAAGTTAACGTAAATCGGAAATACATTTACCTTGTGGGCCATGAGGTATATTGAGCTAGGTGAGCGATTTTGCTCATAGGTGGAAGTGAAGGAGGTGAAACATAATGTTATTCACTTACGTTTCCCTAAACACTTGGAAGATGTTTTAGAGGCTATACTTAGTCACTGTACTTCACTATAAGTAGGGCTGAATGATTTGGGGAAAATATCTAATTGTGATTTTTCTAGTCAGTATTTCTAATCAATAGTGCATAATTTAAGTTACAATTATTTTCTGTAAATTAATGTCCAGGCCTGTTTTTTTGGCCAAGAAGACCAGAATACATTTTTTTTTCTGGCTTGAGGCCTGAACACAGAACGTAGTATGCCAGACTGCCAGTTAGTTCACCACAGTAACACAGTGTTTTGCGATAACACTACAGTATTGCCGTATTGTTCACATCTACGTGGGTGTTTGGTTGCTTTTGTTTGGCTAAACTCATTTATAGGTCGATCACAAGTTCCATGTTTTAAAGCTTAAGACAACGCCATTAATCTTTCAGCCCTAATTATAAGTCAGTGCACTTCAATTTTGATGTCAGATTGACCAAGTGTATTATTATACGTTGATTGTGTGTTCTACAATAGACTGCTGGTAACCACTGAATAGTAATGTTTTGTATTAGTTAGAGTTGAATCAGTTTTCACTGTAATTGTCCATGTTGATATGACATTGCAGTGAAACATGTCGCATCTAACATCACATTGTTCAAACACCAAGCCCTGTAAATACTTACAATATTGAGTAGTTTGAGTGCTTGTTCCTGTGTTCCCATATGTGAATGGTTGGACCAGTGTTTTGCTCCACCCCATATCTAAGCTGTACAGAGGGACAGTTGGGAGCCATAGGCTTGAAGGCTCAGATATTTGGACTTGCTGTGGTGACTAACAGTGGCCAAACGCTTGCTAATGACCAGCCACCACTTGAGATTTGCCCTGGACAGAAAGAATTTATCTTGGCAACAGAAAAAAATGATTGGAAATAAATTGCTCAAGTGGGACACAATTACGGGGAAAGAGAGATATGGGCATTGCTATAAATTGGCCACAAAGGGAGAAGATTAGGCTTTTGTTTTGACTCAGCCTAGATGATTATGAGGAGGAAAAATGAAATAATTTTGGCGAAATAAAGATTATGCATGTTCTGCGCTCTTTGACACTGTGGTTGATTTCCTTATCTGCGCCTAGGCTGTGTCCTCCAGAGGTGGCTTCAATGCGTTGCACTCTGCTTCGCCAAAAAGTAGTTTTTATGAATTAAGTGGATGTAACAAAGCCTTGTCGTTCATCAAAGGCACGCCTGCAGTATGCAGTCGAGTGTGTTTGCATTGTTTATGTATGTGTGTGAAGGCATTGTGTGTGACTGAGATCTTGGCAAGATGGCTGCTGGTACAACTGGCTTGATTGGCAGACATGTCTAACTAGTATGACAGTGTCCTCCATAAAGCATCTTCCACTCTTTCTTACTCCTCCTCCTCTCCCTCCCCTCACTTCTTCACAAATGTGCACGCATACACAGCCCTAAACCTCCCAAGTGTTACATTCCATGGCTTGTAGTTCACTGTGTACTTGATTTCTATCAATTTTGTTCTTTTTGGTCTGTCTCTCTGCCTATAAGCAAAGCTCATACCAAGGTTATACCCTCATAAAGGTCCACACAGTTAAAGCATGAACTCCAGAAGCATCCCTGGTATTCATGCCTTTCTTAAACAGCACCAGCCATGAGCCCCTGAGAGTCTATAATAGGCCAGGTATGAGGTATGCTGGTGGCCTGTAAGCTGAGAGGCTCTCATCATACTGGAGATGTGCTTGGAGAAACAACCATTCTCTCTCTCAACAAGAGCACATCAAACCGGTGATCATCGATCATGCTGGGTTGGTGTGCCATAGCAGTTTATGGATGGTGGGATACTCCAAAACAAAACACTTAAATTCCAGACCTTGAATCCAGTTTCTGTTCCTGAACGTTATCACTGGTGGTTTACTGGCCCTTTATTACTGGTATTTAACTGATCTGTTGATGTAACTGATTGGACACCTAGTGTCATATCAATCTACCAGTGCTTACAAAATCCAAGACCAGAAAGTGGATTCAGTGCCTGCATGTGAAGACCCCTGCTCTAGAATGCTTTCCAGCATTCATACTGATCTAGAATGTTCTCCCCACATTCACTCTGATCTAGAACATTCTCCTCATTCATTGTTCTAAAATGTCCTCCTCCGTTTGCTCTGTTATAGTGTTCTTTTCCATTTTGCGTTGTTCTAGTCTTCTCTCCATTGATCTGGTTCCATGATGGTTCAGTCCCATTAAAACTTTTCCTGAATGTCCTCCTGTATTTACATTGTTCTATGGTGTTCTCCCCCTTTCACACTGTTCTA